CGGTGTCTCTACTACTTGTAGTATTTTGTTGATGATCAAATCTTCGATTATTGACATTCTGAATCAGTGAACCTCTGCTTGGCTACGGATATGTGGTGTCTAGCGACTGTATGACATCTGTGAATACCCTTGAAATGCCCCTGGAAATCCCCTGAAATTTTGTGTATATGTTGTGCTACGAACCCTGAGTACATAACCCCAAGAGTGTGCAACTGCCTGCACAACCTCTATGCAGTGCTGCGACGGCAGAACTTCACATCACGTGACATGGTTCAAAAGGTTACACTGGCAAACAGTGCGAAGTGATCACAAGAGAGTGTTACCCAAAGCTGGGTTTCGTACAACCCTGTATCAATCATGCACAGAGTGCAAATAATGTGTACGGGTTCATCACGTGATGTAAAGTTCTGCCGTCGCAGACCCCATAGCTGGAGTTGCACACTCTTGGGGGTTATGTACTCTTGATAACGGGCATACAGCTTTTTGAAGCCAAGTATAAAACCTGGGAAAGGCTGGAATCGTGACGAATTTGAAGGACTCCAAACTGGTGAGAGTTCTGTGTTTGTTTGGTCAATGATCTCTTGAACGTGTTCTGTGTTTGTTTGGTCAATGATCTCTTGAACATGTTGTAGTCTGTTATGAATGGAAGCCGAGCGAAAGGCTGGAATCGTATACAGCTTGGGGCTGTGTTTTTACGCGATTTCACTATGAAATGTGCTTGTAAGTCGGGCATGCCTGTGGGGTCATGTGACCCGGGGAAATCCCCCAGCTCTGAGCGTGAGCTCTATCGACGAATATCGTGTCTTTCTGTGCATGTGTGCTGTGTGTGTGCTGTGCTGTGTGTGTGTGTGCTGTGGATGCATGTGTGCGTGTGTGTGTGCATGTGTGTGTTTCTGTTGACCATGGCTGTAAGGTATCTAATGAGGAAGGTGGACTTGGTCATGGTGGGGGCTGAGGGAGTTTGCGCCAGTGGTGGAATCGTCAACAAGGTCAGTTCTCCAGCCCCCCCCCCCCCCCCCCCCCGATACATTTCATGTCCCGTATTTGCCCAGGCCTGTACTGCAACAGGAGTACATGGCATATAATGCAAGCCTTGCCTGTTAGTGTTAGGTAACATGTTTTCACGGTGACAGCGTGAACAAGACGAGGACACACTGTGTGGGAAAGAGACTCTACCACCAACCGGTTTATGGTTGTAGTCAGGAGCACTGTTTCCCACACAGTGCATCCTCGCCTTGTTCACGCTGTCACCGTGAAAACATGTTAACCCTTTGAGGTGCCACTGAACGCGTGAAAATACGCAATTGCAGTTCACTCCACCATTTCCACCATAACTTACGTTCTGTTTGCTTGATTTTGACAATCTAGGGCTCTTTGAAACGCTCTTTCCGCTGCCAAGAGGCCCTCGGACATTGAAATCCAATGCGATGACCGAGGCCGGCACCCTCTCTGCTGTTAGCACGTACATATCCATTCACTGTAGTTCACGTACGCACTGTTAAAACAGAGTCCCGGTCTTGCGACCCTTTGAACCTTATTGGGAAAACCCCGGTTCGGGCCCTCTTTATTCTAGGGGGTGGTTGAATTTAGAGTTTTTTTTTGCTGATGGTGTGTTGTTGTCGTTGGTCTATCAACTCATCACTTGTGCGTCACAGTTTCTCATCTCTTCATCTCTCTATTAATCCCTTGGCTCGCTTTGCCAGGTTCTTTATCGTTGTTTTTTTTCCTTTGGCATTCAGACTGTCGGTAATGCATGTTCTTGCTCCTCTAAAGTTTGGGTAATGCAGTGCCGAACGAGTGAAATCCATTGAGCATGCCAACAATTGTATCCTATTGTTTACGTATCATCCGCTCTTCTTTCTTCTGCTTGTCTTCTTATTGTCTGCGTGTATATGTTTCAGATTGGCACCTACCCGATGGCAGTCATGGCCAAGGAGTTGAACAAACCGTTTTATTGCGTAGCTGAGAGTTTTAAGTTTGTACGCTTCCTGCCACTCAGCCAGGCTGATCTTCCCACGGCTTCTTCGCAGGTTAGTGCGTTGGAACTCCACTGTGTGTGTGTGGGGGGGGGGGGGGGGGGGGGGTGTTTCATTCGGATCTTGTCCGCTATCGTTGCCACCTCCGAGAAAATCTATGGGTGCACATCCAGTGCATTTGCAGATGTGTGTGCTTCTCTTGCGACGGGCGCATACATGGTACATGGTGTGTATGCGCGCACGCGTGCATATAATATTATTTGGGGAAGAACTAGCAAATGATGGTGGCCATGTCTGCCCTTAGTTTATTTCAAAGCCTGCAATGAATGTCCGTCCGTTGGTATCTCTGCTGAATAAGCGACATGGAGACAATAGTTGTATCTTTTTCTTTTTTCACGAGTCTCATTATGTTCTGTTGCCCGTACAGTGGCAGATTTCGCGCGGTGATAAAAAAAAAAAAAAAAAAACTACATGTACATGTAAAAAAAAAAAAAAAATAGTATCAATGAGATGAGTAATATCAGCCAGGCTTGATGACTGGCTCAAGAAAATCGATCAGGAAAACTTTCATGTAGATTCACCATATTCTTGTTTTTCATAATGTCCGCCTCGTCGGTATCACTGCTGTCCGTTTCTACAGGCTGTGTGCGTTGAGGATCCGTCTCTGCCACCGTCCTCCTCCGCCAACGGCAACGTACATAACGCCGAGTGTAACGGTGTTGCCACGGCGGCCGGTACTGCCTGGGATCCGGCGCGCGTCAACGCCATTGACTACACGCCGGCGGAGTACATCACGCTGCTCTTCACCGACCTGGGCGTCCTCACGCCGTCGGCGGTCAGCGACGAGCTAATCAAGCTCTACCTCTGAGCGACAGTCGCCCACCCGCGTGCCGTGGCATCGTCGCGTGCTCTGACCTAAATTGACATGTGCTTCAAGTTCAAGCAGGGAGTAGTAAAATACTGGTAGTTTACTACTCCCTGGCTTTCCGTGTACATTGTACAGAAGTCGAACTGGTCCACTCTCTGTAGTCACATTTGCACATATCACTAGTGTACATTATGTACAGTTTCAACCGGGGAGTCGTAAAATACCGGTATTTTACGACTCCCTGGTTTCAACCTTGTCGTCGTCGTTTAATTGTTGTTTTTCTTGGTTTCTCGCTGTCTTTCTTAGACCTGTTTGTACATAGGGATGGATGCGATGCGCTATTTTTTTTTTAACTGTACGATATCATGTCTTGTCCGTCTTTTCTGCAGTCTTGTGTCAAAAACGTTGCTGTTATATTTTTTCGATTCAATTGGTGATGGTCTACCGTGTGTGGAGTCGTTTGTTTTACAGGCAAATATGACTCGTGGTTCTCTTCGCTCGATTTGCGACGCGTGGTTCTCAAGGTGTGTGTGTGCGTGTATGTGTGTGTGTGTGTGTATGTGTGTGCGCGTGGGTGTGCGTGCATGCAAGTCAGGGAGTCTTAAAATACCGGTATTTTACGACTCCCTGTCTCACACCTGCTTGCCAGCTTGGAGCAGAATATGGCCTTGTAGCCATGCGCCACATAACACACTGTACTTTGCTATGGATAGTGGCAAGAGTACATGAAAAAAGTTGTCATGTACTCTTGATAGTGGCGAGTTTCTGCTACACGGAACTATGCACCAAACTCCGTGTCAACTGCAGTGAAGTTTGACATGGATTATCCGTACGTTGCGCAGGTTCTGCTATGCGTAGCATCAAGAGTACATAAAAGGTTTATGTACTCTTGGTAGCATGCTCGAACGTCCCGCCACATGTACTCTGTGCGCTCAGTTTTCACACGGAGTCCAGCAGTAGTAACATTCCAGTCGGGTAGGTCGGCCATACAAGCCTAACACACACACACACACACACCACACACGCACACACACACACACACACCTTGCAGTCTCTCACTTTCTTAAAAAAAGGTCTAGTATTGTGGAGATTGGATATAACAACACTCCTTCGGAAGAGAACAAAATGTCACTATATTCGATCTGTCACTAAACCCAATCTTCACAAAGGACTTACTAAACGACTTGGGCAACATAATCGTGTCGCTAAACTCAATCTGCCGTTATTACTTATATCAAGTTATATGCAAGGCCGTTATATCCGATCTCCACTGTAGTAGTCGAATAGAAATTTCCAGCAGAAACCATGCACAAACAGAAGGTGCATGCGGGCAAAAGACCAAAATTCAAGATATACGCTTCGTTGTATAGAAACATTGCTAGTGGGAACCATGCAAGTGCGCAAGATGCATGTCTCTGCTATGGCAAATACACAAAATCCCGGTCTCTGCTGTTGCATACTGTCTGTCCGCCCGCACCTTTAAAGCCATGAAGGTATAATACTATTCGATTATCGAGCAAATCCATGGGCTTCATAAATGAAAAATTAATGACATTTGAAGCATGTTTTGTAAAGTTGAAGGAATAAGTACTATACTAACAAACTTACATCCCAGCAGGAAAGGTGAACAAGTGGATTTAGATTGAAATTTCTGTGTGGACTTTGACTTTTATGGCATGGCGTAGCGGGTGAGTCATTTCGCATCTAAAATACTTGTAGCTAGGAAAGCAGCGGTGCTTCGAATAATTATACGGCCATGGCTTTAAAGGCGCTGCTGACATACGGTATTTGTAAGCGGAGGTAGAATGTTATGTCCACTGCTATGCTTGCAGGTGCAGTGGCGCGCAGAAAGATTCTACGCACGATCCTGGAGGCAAGCTGGGAAAAGGGTCCACCACGTACAGACGTCGGTAAAGTGTGTTTCCAGTACGGCGACAGTTCTAGGGAGCCAGGCTCCTCAGTGACACTGTGTCCCAACAGTGCATAAGCAATACCATCAGAGAATCAGACGATGGTCGTGTGAGCGAAGGAACGAACACATGGCGAGACGTCGGCGAAACGTTTCCAGTACAGCAATTCTGGGGGGTTCCTGAGTGACACAGTATGCAAGAAAGCACAAGCGATACCAACACAGAATCAGACGGCGGTAGCGCGAGCGAGCGAAGGAACGGACGGACACATGGTTCCGCTCGTGCCCGGCGCCGCGCTCACTCGGGCGCCACGGACACCTTGGCCGCCTGCTCGCGTTTCCGCTGCAGGTAGCGCTCTCGTGCGGACAAGATGGATGTATCGTCGTTGCGCCGATCCAGCTTGGCCGCTGGGCCTTCAGCAGCCTCCTCTGCTTGGCGCTTCTTCTGCAGCTCTTCGCGGGCACGCTTCTTGGCGAGGAGTTCCTCTGCCTCCCGGTCCGCCTTGGACTTGACCTGTTCCATGGCGGCCTCGATCTCCTCAGCCTCAACCTCGGATTCGCTTTCTTCTCCGGACGATGACGACTTCTGGTCGTCGTCTCGATCATCGGCGTCGTCGGCGTCATCTTGATCAGCATGATCATCATCGTCGTCATGGTGCTGTGTTGTGCCTGCAGCTGGTGTGCGTCGCTCTGGTGCATCACCTTCTTGTTTAGATGTTGCTGCTGATGGAGTCTTCTTGGGTCCGGCTGACGGTTTTCCTTCTGTGGACTCCAGTTTGGACCACTGGCCACCGGACGACGTCTTGCGAGTGAGCAGGTTACGATAGAAGTCGTTCAGGTTTCCCTTCTGCGTGACGTCATTGGCAGCTGCGCAACACAATGAAGGAGAGAGAGAGAGAGAGAGAGAGAGAGAGAAAAAGAGAGAGAGAGAGAGAGAGAGAGAGAGAGAGAGAGAGAGAGAAAGAGAGAGTGTGTGTGAGAACAGGGAAAAACGAGCAAAAATCAAAATAAAAGGCAGTTCACGAGTGAGATATGCCAAGAAACTTGTGGTCCTAAAGAACACGGCATAGATAGAACTGAGCAACACCATTTCAAGATGAACATGTGATTTAGGTGTATTAAAATGTCGGTGTCGGGGACCTGCCAGGTTTCAGGTGTAACTTAGAAATAGGCGACTATAACATTTATTTCACCATACAGTACATGAAGGGCTCCAATTCAAAACGAGATAAATCCATTTTGTGGAAATTTCAGGAAGTGCATTTTTTCATTTTTTTTCTCTTTCGGTCTGCACTGCAGCATCAGTGACTTTTATCGCGTTTTGCAGAAGAACACAAACTTCGGACATCATTTTGACTGGGATGTATCGCATTTTGACCCGTAAAACCGACGCACAATTGTCTGTGGGGTGAAAACGAATTCTTTCGCGAAAACAAAATGCAAAAGCTCCGGTTTGGTCTTGATCGCGTTTTTGAATTGGAGCCCTTCACATACTCTGGTGCCTTTTTCAGTGTAATATAAATTTACAGTCCATTTCAAAACTATAGACGCGTACCTAGGCAAAAACCGTTATGCCAGCATCTATACCACATAAAATCTGTGATCACGTTGTGCATACATTTTTCCAAATTGGGAGTCTGTTATTATGTATATGAGAGTAATTGCGGAGCGGACCTGAGCAATATTCAGAAAACTATTCTCAAAAAGTTCCAGCCAAATTTGAAATATTTCAAAAACACTGCGCGTCTATAGTTTTGAAATGGACTGTAGGCGCCTGGTTTTTCTACCAAAATTACCGATATCAAGGTTTAAAAAAAATACACCGAAAATAACCTGTTTAACAGTACTCAGTACTCACCATCTGCAGCCTCCTTCCGCCGCGCCGCTTCCTCTGCTGCCTTCAGCTCAGCCTGTTTCTTCAAGAAGCTGAGAGACAGAACAACACACAGCAAGGAATATTTTACGAGTCTCGACTGCGGAGAATATGCGTTTACAATAGCACCGCAGGCTACAAAGTAGATCTATTTTTGTGAGGGCACTATACAGTTACGGCCATGGTGCCAGGGACGGCACCATGGCCTTTCCTGCCGCTCTGGCATGCACACGGCAGGCTGCGGTAAGGCAGGAGAACGGGCGCTGTGCTCGAGAACGATGCTGTAGCCACAGGCTGAATTTACATGCCCCTGCCACCTTGCGTGGCCCCTACAACTAATTGTTCCCGCTTGTTTTTCCTTTTCCTTGGGAGCTTGTTTTTTCCATTTTTCTAACAAAAAAACAACAACAAAAAAACAAAAAAAGCACCGCACCACAAGCTGACCTGGGAGTGATGTAGGCATCCTTGTCGCCAAACTCATCGCCCTCCTTCTCACGTTCGCGATGTGCCTGCCTCTCTTGCCGTCTCTCGTCATCTAACTTGCGGGCAGCGGCGTTCTTCAACAGCTGATGTACGTACTTTGGCTGCAGAAGGAGCAACACAAAAATCCAAGCAAACAATGATGGTCAGATCAGAGGGCATGTGTGTGTGTGTGTGTGTGTGTGTGTGCGTGTGTGCGCATGCGTGTGTGTGCGCATGCGTGCGTGTATCTGAAAGAGAGCGAGAGTGAGAGAGAGAGGGAGGGAGGGAGGGAGAGAGAGAGAGAGATAATAGAGCGTTGGTGAAAGGGAACCTCTTTGAAGGTAGGTAGAGAGGGAGGAAGACAGAAACACCTGCGACTGTCAGGAATGTTTCACAAGCACACACACTGCACTAACCTTTCTGTCCTTTGGCCCTTTCTTAGCCTCAGCAACACAATGCCTATCATTGGTCATCTTATCATATACTTCATCGTACTGGTAAACACTGGGGTCCTGTTCCAATGCTCGCGACATCACTATCTTTGCCTGTCAAGTATACATACATACATACGCACACACACGCACACACACACACACACACACACACACACACACACAGACACAAACACACACACGATACCTTACAAATCAAACATAAGAAGCTGAATAGTGGCTCTCCCTGACGATAGCTGTGCAGAAGTGATTTCTCTCCCCACAGAAGTTAGTCAGTACTTAGTAGCGAGAGCATGTTCCTCCGACAGCAGAAATACCAGACATCTGGTGTTTAGTGTACCGCGGCAGCAATAGAACGCATGCGCAATGTCATAGTGATGTCATCTGTACACACCTTCTGGACGAAATGGGTGCTTTCAAGAGACTTTTGATGCTTTCCAGATCTACAAACAGCGTGCAGCTGTCTGACAGGTACATGCATGGTACAGTCGTCCGTCCCTCTTTAATCTAGCACTTTATTAACCAGCACAATTGTCAGTGGCCAAAGTGTTCACATTGCAGCTGTAAATCAGATCTGCTAATCCAGCACCCTCCCTAATTCAGCAGAATTTCCGGTGCACAATGGCGGCGGATTACACAGGGACCACTGTACTGTGTAAGTCTTGCTTGGCAGTTTAGCCGGCATGATGCTGACTGCGTACAACGCAGCGGAGGAGAGGAGAATCGGGTAAAAGGTGTGTACACGTACATATCTTGTACAAACTTGATCCGTGTGCATACAGCGCATACATGTACCAGATGTTTGGGGCTTGTAAATCACGGATTGGAGGCAACCGTCAGAACCAATAGATGATATACCAAATAACCTGCAACTAGACTTTGGAAGGGCATTTTGCAGAGTAGTTGCTGACAAAGTTCAAAGTTGTACGGTTACCTGTGACCTGTGCTCCTGCAGAGCTAGCTCAGGGCCTACCGTGTGCACATTGTAGTATGATTTGTATGCAACTGGTGTGCAATGCCCTCTCTGGTCTAGTTGCGCGCTATTCGGCATATCATCTATTCGGGTCGCACGCCCGCATACATGAAGACGAATGGTATAACAATGCGGGCGGAGAATGCCTACCTCTCGATTGGTCGCTTTCTTGCCCGACTCTTGCAGGAGAGAACGGTTGATGGACGCCTTGATGGCGCCAGGGTTCTGTATGGCAGCAACAGCGCAAGGAAAAAAGCACCCGCGGAAAATGGCCACAGCAGCAGCACCATCACCACCACCAGCATCACCAGCAGCAACAGCAGAAGCAGCAGCAACAGCAGAAGCAGCAGCAACAGCAGAAGCAGCACACGTTTGCAATAGTCACCACCAGCTGATATAAACTCGTAAACAACGAGAGGCTTGTGATAGAGTGGTCCCATGGTAACAGGACTTGGCCAAGCATGCGCATGCTCCAAAGTTGTTGCGCAATGATGTAGTGCTCGTTGTTGTTTTGAGCCCGATTTTGATGGCGGCTGGTATGTAGTCTTTTCCTTTTTGTACTTCCCGTTTCATGTTTGTTCAGTCCTAATAATTATAATATTCCCGTCCTATCCGGTTGTGTTGCTGTGGAGTCCGGGAGGAGAGTTTTCAGTCACAAGTGGTGCCGAAACCCGTTTGCTGAACCTAGTCTTATTCGTTTTTTCTGACAGTGTTTTTGGTCGACGGCCTGTATAGTGATGGCGTCGGGTCCTCGCGTGGACAATTTGCTGCGACCTTTTCGGGGGCGCGATGATAATCTGGATGAATTCTGGCAGAAGTTCCAGGTGGTGGCAGGCATCCAGAAGCTTGAGTCGTCAGCAGCCCGGATGGCCGTACTCCCATTGTATTTGTCGGGTGATGCATTCACTGTTTGGTGTGAGATGGCCAGTGGTGATCAGAAGGACGAGGCCAAGGTAAAGCAGCGGCTCGTGGAGTCATTTTCAGTCACCCCTGCCGATGCCTACCACCAGTTTGTCAAGCGGAGGAAGCGTGCGGACGAAACTGTCGACGCCTACTTGGCGGATCTTCGGCGGCTGCAACGGCTGAGTGGACACAAGGAGGCAGCGGACGGCAAGGACCCGATCCTCTTGGAGCAGTTCCTGGTGGGGCTTCCGCCTCACTTCGCCGTGCAGCTTCGTTTGAATGCAGCCTCTCAACCTGCTGGGGCTACGGTAAGCTCAGTTGCAGCCCAGGCCCGTGCCCTTTGTGCTGCGGGCAGCTTAGTCAAGGAACCCGTTGCTGCTCTGACAGCCAGCCCTGCTCGACGACCCAGTGGCAGTTCCACCCCTAGTCGCCTCTGCTATGAGTGTCATCAGACTGGGCATTTGCGGCGCGATTGCCCGAACCGGCAGAGACGTCCTCCTGTTTGCTTTCATTGTCAGCAGCCCGGCCATGTCAAGCGTCAGTGCCCTCAGCTGAAGTCTAGTGGTGGTGCCAGTTCTTCTCAGACGCCCACTAGTACCGCCTGTGCTGCGGGCTCGGGCTCGTCGACCACGGGCAATGCCTGCCTCAGTGTCGTGGCAAGTCCCTGTTCGTCGCTGCCCAGGATTCATGTCTATAGTGAGGGCCAGGCCAGGCTGCGTGCTGCCGTGGATTCCTGCTCTAGTAAGTCCTTGATCAGCTATCGCGTTGTCTCCGAGTTGGGTGTACCCGTTCAGCTCGTAGAGTCCAACCCGCGCATTACCGCCATCGATGGGCAGGAAGTTGTGGTGTCTGGGCAAGTCCGGTTGACTGTTCATCGTGACGATGACAAAGTGCACCTGCCTGAAGTTACTGCTGATTTCCTCTGGCCAAGCATGCGCATGCTCCAAAGTTGTTGCGCAATGATGTAGTGCCCGTTGTTGTTTTGAGCCCGATTTTGATGGCGGCTGGTATGTAGTCTTTTCCTTTTTGTACTTCCCGTTTCATGTTTGTTCAGTCCTAATAATTATAATATTCCCGTCCTATCCGGTTGTGTTGCTGTGGAGTCCGGGAGGAGAGTTTTCAGTCACAGGCTGAGGGTGGACACCGGGTGAATGGAACGGATTAAGACAGCACCAGGCAGATGCTGGAGCAGGTTTCACTCTACAGTAGAGCACCCCTGAACCGGGCAGGTTGGGGTCGGGCAGGTTGGGGTCGAGCACTGCCTGTAATTCACCACAGACAGTAAAACCTGTGACTAACGACCACCCCTTGGGGGCCAGAGAAAGCAGTCTTTAGTGGCTGGTGGTCCTTAGATAGAGGTTTGCACCGCACAGCAATATATGAACGTGAGACCGTACGTGCCTGGCAAAGTGGTCGCTAGTCACGGTGGTCTTTAGTTACAGGTTTTACTGTAGTACCAGGCTGGTCGCTAGTCACGGTGGTCTTTAGTTACAGGTTTTACTGTAGTACCAGGCTGGTCGCTAGTCACGGTGGTCTTTAGTTACAGGTTTTACTGTAGTACCAGGCTGGTCGTTAGTCACGGTGGTCTTTAGTTACAGGTTTTACTGTAGTACCAGGCTGGTCGCTAGTCACGGTGGTCTTTAGTTACAGGTTTTACTGTACATACTTGGGGGCCGTCCATAATCTTTGAAACAAAACGAAAAAGTTTCGTTTATGGGTGGGCGAGTCGAGGAGAGTATCGGTATGAAAAATATTGATAGCTGAAAAATCAATCCATTTTAGCTGTCAGGTCAATATATTTTTCGTTCAGGGGGGGTCATAACTAAACTTTTTCGTTCCGTGAAAAATTGAAAATCATCGATAATGCCGGATGACCCCTTAGGGGCCATCCGTAAATATCGATAGTTTTTTCAACCCGTGAATTTTACAAAGTAACCAGGACCCACCACCCACCCCCCCCCCCCCCCCCCTACTTTTTACGGAATAAAATATTGATGACACATGTACTGTACCTACATAAATGTAGGTGGAGTCCATGGAGTCCATACACACGCAGGCATGCGCTCACCGTGTCATTCATAACTAGAGTACAGCAATGTAAAGTAGTCTGCCGTGCCATTTTCGTTAGGCCACGCTCCACATGGGAACTGTTCCAACCATTGGCGATGTAGCAATTCTTCGATGTGGAGTTCAAATAAGAGCTGGACTTGACCCGGATTAATCAGGTATTGTGATACTTCGAATAATTGTGCAATAATTATACTTGTGAATAATATCTGACAAACTTCCCTCTTTCTTTTGCTTCAAGAGTTTCGATCTCCACTACATTTTTTGGAGACAACAATCTACGTGTACGTGTGGTTCGACGCACGCAGACCCACGCACACGCAGTACTGGGCGCCAGGTCCGCGTGTCATCGATATTTTATTTACTTTGAATTTCGGCTGCACCCACCACCCAGGTACGAAAATTTCACGGATTGTAAAAACTATCGACATTTACGGACGGCCCCTTACAGCATGCAAGTAAAATCTATTCTATGCCAATCACCGTCACTAAAGTTTTCGGAGCTGTTTTTCGTTGAAAAGCGTTTTTTGTTACTCTAGATGGGTCAGAAAGGTGCCTGGTAGACGAACGTGCCCCTATTAGGGACGTCCAGATCTGGAGAGTTTCGTTAGGGGCATCCGGACCTGGGGAGATTCCCTGTACAATGTACTGGTGGACTGGTAAGGGAGATTCCCTGCGAGTGTGAGTTACCTCATCATCGCTGTCATCACCGAACGCTGAGCTGGGCTTGATCATTGGTTTCTTGACAGCCTGCTGCTTGGACTTGGGTATGATCAGGCCATATCTACACATAGTGGACATGGTGGAACAAACGACGAGCAGCATGACAAGCACACACACACACACACACACACACACACACACACACACACACAGATGCAGACACACACACACATACACGCACACACACAGATGCAGACACATAACAATTGCATACCAGATTTCCCCGATTATAAGTCGCACCCCCATTTTCAGGTTTGAGCCGTATTGTCTCGATCTATTCACTTCAGTAGCAATTCATGCTCGATCGTAAGTCGCACCCCTTTTTTACAATGAATTTTAGTGTAAAAAGGTGCGACTTATAATCGGGGAAATACAGTACATATGCAGACACATACACGCACGCACACACGCACACTCTCCTCGGGAAACCGTTTTGGAAAATTGGGCCCAAATAGCCCATATTCCGTTTCCATAATCACATTTTTTTATTATTTTTTTTATTGACTCGCGTGGAGCTGGAGAGCCAAGGATTAATTTATAAGAAGAGAAAAGGACCAAAGAGCCACACGTTGCACAAGTTAGTTTCTTAGGTCCTTTTATCTTCTTATAAATTAAAATTATTGGTGCGGCTTTGGCCGCACCTGCCGCACCGGTTCCGACGCCCCTGTGCTTACTGCCTGGTGCTCGGCTGTGCGAAGACACGCCCCTGCACGAGTACAGCGTACACTATCCTGGTGTTTGCAGGTCTAGGGCTGCACAGTGGCCGACGTGGCATTCACTCGCCTGATCGTATTTCATTAAGCAGCACTGCACAGCACTGTACACTCAAATAGCACAGCTGTACACTAGGCAGGGCAGTAGGGTACTGTAAAGCGATAAACTTTCGCGGTGCGCAAATTTAGCGTTTTCATGAATTGGGCTGGTTCACGATGAGAAAACTTCGTGATTTTATCTCTTCAGTTGGATCTGGTGCTGTATACAATCAATGCACAGAGCAGTTTCCGGCAGTTTATATTCGCGAATGTGTGATGGTCGCGAAAATAGCGAAATTTAATCTCTAGCGAAAGTTTCTCACTTTACAGTAGCTGTGTTACATGAAACGCACATCGGTGTTCCTCAATCGTTGCTTCCAGCCTGGCATGTTCTTACATTTTGGGGGTTTCCAGCCCGAGTGCTGCTCGGCAGCTTCTTAGACGCACAATGCTACTGTTTCGGGTTTGAAGACTACTAGCAGGGCCTGCTGATTTCAAAATTTCACAAACACCCTCCCGAATTCTAAACAGTTTCGCATCTTGTTGGCTACGAACTCAGGTGGTGTGGAGCGGAATAAGGCAGGCTATCCACTAACAATCATACGTTTAGGTTCTTACTTCTTCGGTGCGGCCATCCTTCTGCTGAGAATTGGAATTCCAAATAATTCCAAACACACGCGCAGTTTCCAAACGCAGTGAGATTTCAGGGGGACGACTTTTTGACAGTTGTATTTAATTTTACAATATCCACAGAGGTGTCCGCTCGATCACAAGGATAGAACAGCGTCAACTTCTATCTCATCACACTGCGAAGTTCGACAGTTGCAGGTACAGATGAACACGACGCGATCACGAACAGTACTTTCTTCTTTGAAGTCCAGATAGCAGGGAAATAGTAACTCGTACTCATAAAATAATTGTCATACTCGTCCAATGATTACCGGTATGTAACTCATGAGCTCATGAAGTCATGCGAATAAACAGTTTTCCAACAGTTTTCGAAAAAAATTGGCACGTTTTTCCCGCGTTATATTGAGTACTAAAACACCGTTTTTTTAGTACTCCATGCAGGCCGGGGCAAGGCTGGAGAGTGGAGTGGAGCCAGTGAGTGGAGGTGGGGTTGCTTCGAAGACAGAAAGAGGCCATTCTTGTCGCGACGTGGCTACGACTTCCACGGACAGTGTCCGACACCATCACACGATGGACGACAGCAACACGAGTTACAAGACAAAACAAATAAGACGGAGGTTCAACCGTAGAAAACTGGCTGAGTGTGGGATTAGTGCGATCATGAAGAGATGCTGTTGAACTCACAGATCGCCGGCGCACTGCCACACCTACAACATGGTAAATGTAACATGTCAAGCGGCTTTACTACCTAGCAGGTCAGAGAGTTCTGAAAGTTCGTGACCCCCTCATACCCTGGCGAGTGGTGGCATTCGTAGATATACCCGGAGCACCCATGTAGATCTACCCGATGAAGCCTAGAAAGTGTGAACCGTCCTCGCTGACCTCGGTGGAGCGATCAGAAACTAGATTTACATGATGTACCATGGCATTGTACTCTTACTTGGCGGACTAGTACTAGTAGGAGTCTAGTTAGCACAGGCCGCCACTGGGCTGGTAGATCTACCACCAGCGTGGAGTCGTGAACGTTCTTGTCGTGTGACGTCTGACGACCGCCTGCGCTAGGCCTAGAACAACACCCCGGCCTGGCGCAGAGTGCTCTCAGGTTCACACTCGAGCACCGAGCGTCTAGGCCTATATCCGCGCCCTCGCCGACTCCGAGCGGCTATATTGCACCGGAGAGCAAGCCAAGGAGAAACAGAAGGAAGTAATTCGAGAGCGCCAATCAACCGAAGGAAAGACTGACCGACTGACGCCGGTCAACTGTTTCCATACAACGACAAGAAGGCGACTACAGCAGACTATACGAGGGAAGAGACTTGAAGCGACACCGAACGACTAGCCATTGCTGGGTCCGTCTCTTTCAGACGAAGCCGAGCGCGAGCAAGCGTGCTCTTCACTGTCGACTTCAGCAGTTTACAGAGCGGAGCTGGAAGTTGGTCACCCGTGTTCTACTAGACCCAACTGACACGTCGACTACTATTGACATTTGTGGGGCCCACGCGGAAGCCATCCGCAGAATTACTGGAGTCTTGCGCACGGTAAGTAGACCTACCTAAGTCCTTCCAGGTTCCTTGTAGGTGCACTAAGAGTGCCTAACCATGGGGGTTTGTACTCTGGGGAATTTGCTTGTACATGACAGTACGGTTGTAGCTGGCACGACTATCCGTGCTTGTGGTGTGCCTTGTGCTCTGTCCTTGCCATGAAATGATGAAGTATCCGGGTGCAATGAGGGTCTCGCTCTCCGTAAACCTTTTGGTCTGTGCTCGCTTGTCAAGAAGCTGAACAGTCTCTAGCCTGCAAAACGGCAGTACAGTTTATCCCAACAATAGCTTTGGTGCTGCCTCGCGTTTCTTCTCCCACAATCTCCTCACTTTGTCTCTAGTCAGTGTGTTCTGCTGTCTGCTGCTTTGACAGCGACCTGATGGTCGCCATGGTCGCTGAGCGTACGGAAATGCGACCTTGCTAAAAAGTTAGTCGCTCATTTCCGTATGGTTTTTGCACCAAGCTCCGGTTTCTTAGCTAAGATCCGGACGGGACTCGGAGGCGGTTTTTGTGGCGGTCGGTTACAGATGGTGGACGCGAACTGGGCGGAAGCTTGAATGTCGCTTTGCATGCACGCACTTGACTGTTCAGTATGGATGCACCTGTGCGTTGGTGTATGCGTGATGCGTGCCTGCTGGATGCTTGCATGCGTGCATACTAAAATGGGATCACAGTCAGTGTCTGGTCTCTTCATACTCGCAGAAAGGCGTTTCTCAACAAGGCGTGAGCCCTTCTTCACATCCACAAATCTGCAACACTCCTATGCTATGGTGTTTATGATTATGTATACATGTCTTTCAGTTCATGTTCTATTCCATGTGCTGCGTCTCCCGTTGCCCACTGCAGGTGAATGCGCCTGCCCCAGGCACAGCAGCAACAGCAGCGGAACGCCACCAGTAGCAGCAGCAGCGGGGGTGTTAGCGAGCCGCGGCCGCCGGCCATGTCATCGCGATCGGGCCAGAAAGGCGGAGGTGGGGGCGGTAACAGCAGGCAGCCACCGACGTACGGCGGCAACTCGCGGACCGGATCCTCTTCCTATGCCAGCGGCAGCGGTAGCGGAGGCGGAGGAGGCGCCTCTTCCTATGCCAGCGGCAGCGGAGGCGGAGGAGGCGGCGGTAACTATTTTCACGGAAGCCGCGGCACTTCCTACAGGGGCAACGACGGCTGGACGGACCGCGGGGGCGGCGGAAGTGGCGGAAACGGTGCAAATCGGCAGCGCTCGCACGGTGGTAGCCGGCCCCGCTCCAGAGAGGGCGGCGAGAGGCAGTCGTCGTCGGGCTTTGCTCAGCGCACCGCAGACAGTCACGGGTATACGTCGTCACATAGCCGACGGGCCGCCACCACCGCCGCCGCCTCGGCAAGCAGCTCGCGGCCGCCACAGCGCTCGTCCGGGGGCAGCGGGAGTTCCGGCAGCAGTGGAGCGCGGCATCAGGACAGCGGGGCTACAGCTACGTCACACTCGCGAGATGTTTCCACTGCCTCGAGCTACGGTCCGCCGCCCCCTTCATCTACCGATACGGCCGCTACTTCATCCAGCCAACCAGTTGCAGTTTCTGCTCCGGTGGTGACTAGCGACAGTGCTCGGCAGCAAGAGCCGGATCGATTCCCCGCAACGGTTCCGGAGAGCCAGGCCGAACAGGTTCTGGCTACGCCGGTGGTGGTGCCGCAAGCGGAGGCGACGTCCCCCGTGCGTGAAGAACCATGTTCCACGACACAGAGTCGCAGCAGGTGTGAATATCCTCCCGAAACCGCAAAGCCGAAGTTGCCCACACCGCAAAAGCAGGCAGCAGCCGCCGGAGCTGTGGGTTCGCAGCAGCAGGGTGGTGGCGGCCAGCCTTACGCCTTGCTGCCCACGCCGCCGCCCAGCACCACGCACGCCGTCAAGGCATCGTCGGCGGGCATGCCTTCGTCGTCGTTGCTACCATGCCGACAGCAGCTGCCCGCCGATGCTGCCATGGTAACGGACCACCAGCAAGTCTCCAGCGTCGCATCGGTGCACCCGGTCGCTCGTCAGCAGCAAATGCTTGCGCAACTGCAGCAGCAGCAACAGCAATACGCCGCAGAGCACCAGCAGCAAGCCCAGCAGCTGCAAATGCAGTATGCGGCAGGTGCGTACAGCATGGAGTCACAGGCACAGCAACAGCAACAGCTACAGCAGCAGCAGCAGCAGCCGATGATGTACAGCGCACCGCAGCAGCAGATCACACCAGCTGCTGTACAGCCTCCGGCGGTGCAGCAGCAACAACAGCAGATGATGGCGCCGACGCCCAGCGCCTACGAGCACATGATCCAGCAGGCCAGCGGCGGCGCCGCTAACTCGCCGGCCACTTACGCCATGTGTGTCACAAGCCAGCAAGCGCAGCAGCAGAAAGCCTTCGGCGCGGGCGTCGCAAACGCTCTACCCGCGCCATTCTCGCAGGAGTACAACCAGCAGCTGGTGCTGCAGTCGTCGTCCGCCGCTCAAATCCAGCCGCACCAGCAGCAGCAGCAGCCGCCAACTCCGGTTCTGCAAGCTCCCGCCGTGACCAACCAGGTGGTCGTGCCCCTCGCCGCGGCTGCCACTCCTCCGGTCGTGGACAACAGCGGTGCCACGTATTGTCTGCAGTACTCGGCACAAGACAGCAACAAGGTTAGTTGATCAGCCTGTAATGTATACATTGAAACCTGTTTTAAGACGGCCGCTCAAGCGACCTTCAAAATGTGGTCTCCCTTGCTATATTTTACACTGTATTTAATACAGGAGTAAAACTCTCCGAACTCACCAGTCCCTGCCACTCTCGTTTACTGTCTAAAAGCAATCTGCTTGTATTGGAAAGCTCAAATGTCAATCGTGAACTAAGATTGGTCTCCTGATACGTCTTGCTTCCTGTGTACTTGTTGCTGCTGCTGCACTGCTCTGTGTTCCAGATTCAGCTTGCGCCCAACGTCATGATTGACCCGCACGTATACCAGACGGTGTACTCGGACATTTCCGGCTACCCGTTGTACTCGACCCCCGCACAGGCCACGCCGATCGTCTACCACCAGGGTGCTGCCGAGCCGCACTCCATAATGCCACCACCGCCGCCGCCACCAGTGCAGCGCCAACCGCAGCAGCCTCAGCAGCCGTCTCAGCACACCGCCGAGATGATGTGCCCGTCAGCCAACATGCCGCCCTCGCTGCAGCAGCACCACCAGCATCACCACCAGCATCAGCAGCAGCATCACCGTGGCAACGGCACTGGAAACCAACAGCAGCAGAGACCGCCGCGACCCCGCCGCCAGTCCAAGGCCAACGGAGCGACGCGCCAGCACCAGCATCAGCAGAGCCAGCAGCAGCAGCAGGTGCTTCGCGCCCCGCGCGGCCCTCGTTCCAGCTCGCACTCGTCCAGCGATGGACGAGTGTCGCGTCACTCCGTCGGTTCCGTGCACAACGGTGCTGTCGTTGCTGCTGTTGCCACGGGAACGGGAACGGCTAGCCAAGCCGAGTACCGGCCGCCGAGCCGAGGAGCTGCTGCCAGGCCGCTCATGAGCAAGCTCCGCGTGCCGGACAGCGAAGATCGTTGCAGGAGCAGTGCGGACGAGGGCGAGATGGACGCCGACAAGGAGTCGTTCATCAAGGACCTCGACGTCTTCTACAACCTGAGGGACGTGCACATCGGGTGCATCTTGCGCTTCCAGTACCTGTGCATAGTACGATGCAAGCTGACGCTTGTTGAATACTTTGCAGTTTACCTTGGTAACTGCATGGTGGCCCACTGCGCGAGCTTAGACGACCATGCGCTGGAGCATCTGGCATTCCTGCGGGCCATGGTTCCCACCGAGCAGGAGACGACCAGCCCCGACTTCTACCCGCGCTGCAAGGTGCAGCTAACGCAGATGTCGAACATGAACGGCGAGGGCAACCTCTACCGCGTCATCCCGCTCAGCATCGAGCACATGCGCGCCGTCGACGCCAGCACCACGGCACACTCGTCGCGCATGAGCAGCCGACGCTCCCTGAGCCTGATGGGCTACGTGGGTTTCAGCAGCCGCGACTCGCTGTTCAAGCTGCACGAGGACTTCAAGGACCTGACCACCAACACGCGGCCGCTGATCATGAACACCGGCCGCATCCGCCTCAAGTGCACCTGGACATCCCTGGCGTTCGCCATCTGGTGCGCCTACGGCAGCCAGTACATGGTTCCGGTGGACGTGCTGTACTATGTCGGTGCAGAGGCCGACCTGGACATTACGCCGGCAACGGACGTTCAGAAAACGCTCGTCCAGCACCTGCAGGCCATCGTGGACAGCCTGGAGCGTCGGCCGCCGACCGGCATTCACTACGTCGGCGGGTGCTTGTACAACCTGCAGCAGCCACCGCCACTCGAGGGCGGCGACGCACCGATTGTTTACTACCCCGATGAGGACAGCAGTAGCGGGCAGGTGAGTTCGCGTTGGAGCAATGCATGCACGGAAATACGCACATTTTTTGTAGGTCCTGGGGAAATTCCGCGGTTTTGTTATGCTCATGCCTGCATGGAAATACGGACATTGTAGATTGCGGGAAATCCGGGGACCTTCAAACCCAGTCTCTCTTGCCAGGTTGTCTACGTGTCCAGGATTTGACTGGAAAATATCGTTGTCCTGGTTGCTGTCGTCTTCTGGGACAGGTGGTCACCTTATCTCGAGTGGTCACCTTATTTTACTCTAGGGAATCTTAACAAAGAGGCAGATCAGGGGCATAGCTGGTTCCCTTTTAGGGGGGTGTAGGGCCGCATATGTGTAGGATGGCTGGTGCATGTCATTAATGGTCATTATGGACATGCTGAACCTAGGTCAAACATTTTTAGGGGTGCCCCCCCCCCCCCCCCCCCTTCGTGCCCGATGCGAGCTACGCGCCGGCTATGCGTTGTGTTTCTCAATGGTCATGCGAAGAAAAGTCGATATCAGTGGAATAAGCCCATTGCGCATTGCCAGATATGGAGTAATGCATGTGAAGTACGCTGGGATCAGGGATGCACTGTTCAATACCCCAGACGACCATGCCCAGTTGGCTGTGTGGGGTGTTCGCGGTACAAATGATGTCATTGCGCAACGGGCCTATTCCGACACTGCCCGGCAGAGTATACAGAGGAGCTGTGCATGAGCGTTATCTACAATTTTATGTATGCAGAGTGAGCTGCAGGCATCATCGATATCACCGCTCTGCATTCCTCCAAGCAATATATCTGGTTGGCAATGCGGTGCTCAAAGCCCGACGGGGACCACTGCGATGTCCAGCAGCAGCCGGTGCGTTGCGCCGAGCAACCTCCGTGCCAAGGTGCAGCTCGTCGGCATGAGCACGGAGCACGACGGCGTTCCCGTTCTGTTCCACGACGAAGAAACCGGCCTCTACTTCTACTTTGCCACCGCCGCCACGCCCACTGCCACGCCGCCAACGCTGCCGCAGACAAGCCAGGTCGAGGTGGTGAGTTTTGTGTGCGCGATGTGGTGCTGGTGTTTGGGGGTTGCCAAGCATGCTGTGTAGCGCTGGGGGTTGCCAACTAATGCCACGCATGCTGCTGTGTAGTGCTGAGGGTCGCTAAACATGGTATGTTGCATTGGCATTAACAAATGAGTTAAGATTTGCCAAGCGCAACAATCGTATCATGTTCAATTTGCTGAAATTCGCCGAATTTGAGCGCCTGTCGCATTTTGCTTTGCAACTCTAGGAATAGAATGTACACCGAGTTGGCAAACCTGTTTAGTGTTAGTGTGGAAATGTACTCAACACAGCCGAGCGGCCATTCAGGCAATGGCCACGAGCATATACAGGGTCGTCGGAAGGTATTTCGGGATGGTGTCATCTTAAGATAGTTTACTAGCGAGGGGGTGTATTTTATTGATTCTCTTTATTGATTCTCGGGGTACTTGGGGCAAAAAGTGGTACGGTCAATACCGTAGTGACCGTGTTTTGACGCCCCTGATATATTCCTGCTGCGTGTAGCGAGCACGTCATCTCCAGTGTTCCGGGGCTAACTCGCCCAAAGACGGATGCTGTGCGCTGAACATTCGATAGGTGCAACCGTAGAGCTCAGAAAGACTGAAATGATTTCCCAACATTTCCAACAGACAGCCCACTTCACCGGCCGTTTTTCAAGATTGACGCGTATGCACATCCTACTGCACCATACTGTATAGCGGCTGATTCTGCACGGTACTGTAGAAATCGTTACACAGAAATCGATACAATATTGAGCGTTGCGGAATGAGTCAGAATCGTTACCTTTGGTACACGTAAAACAGTCAATTTTAGTATATGCGCCACGTTAGAATAATGGCTTTTACAGTAGCGGCTGATTCTAGCCACGATGACATTCTAGCTACAGGTACATGTATTCGGGAGAGAGTACAGTCAACTTTGCTTGTGTCCTTATTCGCGAAGTGTCGTTATAGCCCAAGTCTCAATACATATACATAATTATATTACAGTTGGAAGAGACTTTGCTCGGGGCATGGAAATGCTGTCGTTATATCCGCAGTCGTTTGTTATATCCGCAGTCGTTATTTGCGAAGTTGACTGTAGTAGTAGTTGTATTTGGGAGAGAGTAGTACAGTTGAACATCGACTATCCGACCATTCGATTATCTGTAACCGTTTTTTTGGGCGCACGTGCCCTAGAGTACGCACTGTGCATGTAGTGAGCCATTCAAAAATAACGAAAATTTTGAAAAGTAAAAAGGTCGTACATGTACATGTTTCTTATCCGGAACATTTGCCTTATCTGAACACCGCCTGACAGTTGTCTGCCCAGAGGTGGTCGGATAATCGATTTTCAACTGTAGTAATAGTATGCATTTTGATACGGAAGGGCCTACAGCCCTACAGACGTTTCCGTCTTGATACTTTACAGGGGACCATAAGTAGTCTTTGCAGAGCGAACAAAAGCGGATGGATCCAAAGGAGTGTTCTTCAAGTTGTACCAGTCTGCATTCTTCATCCCATGGATACACATGCACTCGCTCTTCTCTGAAATATTGCTTAAATTCCTCAAATTCATCCTGGTTTACAAGTGTGAGGTATCGTAAACGGGAGAAGTGGGGAAAAGTTGTAGCCCATCAAAATTGTACGGTTTTACGGTTGTACAGTACACATAGGTGGTTACTGAGCCTCAAGTGGTTGTTGAGCCTCAAGTTGTACGACCGTCTGTGCGTGTGTTTCTTTGCCCAGCTGCCGCCTCCGGCTGTGGCCGCAGCACCACAGGACGCCGCCAGGTGCAGTGAACTGGACAGTGACGATAGTGACGACGGCGTGCACGTCACGGTGCAGTGTACTGCTGCCGTCGCGGACATTGCCGCCAACTACGCTAGCGGCAACGGGAGCGGTGCCGATGCGGCCGCCGCCGAATGCTCGGCAGCGGATTCCGTTGGCAAGGCGACGGGATCCGCGAATCTGGCCACTGTTGTTGTGCCCTCTACCGGCGGCGAGCAGGCCTTGGAATCCTCAACTGCTTGCCTTCTTGAACCGCGAGTGTTTAGTAGAGAATCCCGTCCGCCGGCGGACTGTGCTTGGATGGAGAAAGCCCATAGAAGTACTCTGCCCAGGCCTGTCATGCAGCGAGCTATCGAGGAGACCTCGACGGCAGTTGCCATGTCAACAACCAATGGATGCACTCCTGCAGCCACAGGCAAACTCGATCCTGAACACCTGCCGGAGAACATGCCTCTCCCGCTCAGCCCGCCCGCGTCGTCCCCGACAACGGGCACTGCCCTCGACGCCACCGTTGCAGCGGTGCCCGGTGAGCTGGTGGCTGCTGTTGCGTCGGCCGCGTCCGAAAGCGAGCCCGCTGTCACGGCGACCTCTCCGCAACCTAGCTTGGCTACAGCTTCCGCCGCCGCCGCCAACGCCACCGCCGGGGTGGTGGAGCCTGAAGCAGCTGCCGATCCCCAGCCCCAGGCACAACGGCCCAGATTCCAGCACAAAACAAGCAACGGACCGAACAGTGCGGATTCGGCCACTAGTTCGGTTTCCTTAAGCAGCAGCAGCGACAAGAGTGATGACAACGCCGACAGCGGTAATAGTCGCCCTTATGTCTCGGATCCGCCCAGTCCGCAAACCCCACCCCACGACACCAACGACAACGCCGGCGAAGCACCACGCCCCGAGAACCAGAGCGGCGGCATGGAGCTTCCCAACGACGAGAACCAGAGCGGCGGCATGGAGCTTCCCAACGACGAGAACCAGAGCGGCGGCATGGAGCTTCCCGACGACGAGAACCAGAGCGGCGGCATGGAGCTTCCCGACGACGAGAACCAGAGCGGCTGCATGGAGCTTCCCGACGACGAGAACCAGAGCGGCTGCGTGGAGCTTCCCGACGACGAGAACCAGAGCGGCTGCGTGGAGCTTCCCGACGACGAGAACCAGAGCGGCTGCGTGGAGCTTCCCGACGACGAGAAGCAGAGCGGCGGCGTGGAGCTTCCCGACGACGAGAAGCAGAGCGGCGGCGTGGAGCTTCCCGACGACGAGAAGCAGAGCGGCGGCGTGGAGCTTCCCGACGACGAGAAGCAGAGCGGCGGCGTGGAGCTTCCCGACGACGAGAAGCAGAGCGGCGGCGTGGAGCTTCCCGACGGCGAGAAGCAGAGCGGCGGCGTGGAGCTTCCCGACGGCGAGAAGCAGAGCGGCGGCGTGGAGCTTCCCGACGACGAGAAGCAGAGCGGCGGCGTGGAGCTTCCCGACGACGAGAAGCAGAGCGGCGGCGTGGAGCTTCCCAACGACGAGAAGCAGAACGGCGGCGTGGAGCTCTCCAACGACGAGAAGCAGAACGGCGGCGTGGAGCTCTCCAACGACGAGAAGCAGAACGGCGGCGTGGAGCTCCCCAACGACGAGAACCAGAGCGGCGGCGTGGAGCTCGCCAACGACGAGAACCAGAGCGGCGGCGTGGAGCTCGCCAACGACGAGAACCAGAGCGGCGGCGTGCAGCTCGCCAACGACGAGAACCAGAGCGGCGGCGTGCAGCTCGCCAACGACGAGAACCAGAGCGGCGGCGTGCAGCTCGCCAACGACGAGAACCAGAGCGGCGGCGTGCAGCTCGCCAACGACGAGAACCAGAGCGGCGGCGTGCAGCTCGCCAACGACGAGAACCAGAGCGGCGGCGTGCAGCTCGCCAACGACGAGAACCAGAGCGGCGGCGTGCAGCTCGCCAACGACGAGAACCAGAGCGGCGGCGTGCAGCTCGCCAACGACGAGAACCAGAGCGGCGGCGTGCAGCTCGCCAACGACGAGAACCAGAGCGGCGGCGTGCAGCTCGCCAACGACGAGAACCAGAGCGGCGGCGTGCAGCTCGCCAACGACGAGAACCAGAGCGGCGGCGTGCAGCTCGCCAACGACGAGAACCAGAGCGGCGGCGTGCAGCTCGCCAACGACGAGAACCAGAGCGGCGGCGTGCAGCTCGCCAACGACGAGAACCAGAGCGGCGGCGTGCAGCTCGCCAACGACGAGAACCAGAGCGGCGGCGTGCAGCTCCCCAACGACGAGAACCAGAGCGGCGGCGTGGAGCTCCCCAACGACGAGAACCAGAGCGGCAGCGTGGAGCTCCCCAACAACGAGAACCAGAACGGCAGCATGGAGCTCCCCAACGGCGAGGACCACACCGGCGGCATGGACCTTACCAACGATGGCAAGGCCGTGATCCTCGAGATTGGCCCCCAGGCTGCCTGGCCAGCCGCTCTGGAGGTGCAGTGTAACGGCACCACCGCCTAGGTAGGGGCGTAATGACGTCGTCCAGAGCAGATCGGATACGCCACAGCCACTTGCAGAATTGGCCTTATGGTAAGATGATTTGCCAGTTAAAGTGCCAGCTTGTATGGCAATGGTGCAACTGAATTTCATCTATAAACGAGAGGCTGTCGACATGCTCAGCTTTCAGAATTG